CCCCCCCCCCCCCCCGATTACAAATGTGCACCCCCCCAGCTTCTGAAATAGATTATTTGTGTGTGAATGCGAGGACCCAGGCTCTCCCAACCCTGTAAAACCTGCATTCCTTACGTGATGTGCCCTCGAGGTCTTTGATGGCTTTTGCTGACCAGCGTAAGAAAGTAAATAACAGACCTTTTCCTTCCAGACACAGTTCTTAGCTTTTGGTGAAGGCTTTGTGTGATGTTTTCACAGATTTACACTCTAGTTTCACAGAGCTCATTACTGACATTGTGGGAATTTCCTCTTTTACTCTTCAGCTGCCACGAGGACTGAAACTACTCCTGACAAGACACCTTTGCCTGAAGACTCTGTCGCTGCAGCAGACGAAGAACCAACATCAGCCCAGGTACCCTTCAGGCTACTTTACCCCCCTGGGCTGAACAAACCCGAGTGGGTAGCATTGTGCTTCGCCTGTCCTAGTACTCGTACTGCTTCTCTTCAGAGCTGCAGCCTTTGGTTTTTCTCTTGTCCTCAGCACCCAGCAGCGCCTCAGACCGTCCAAGACGCTGGCAGCGTGAGCAGGGGAAGTGCTGGAGCAGAGGTGGCCGTTGCTGCTGAGGGGATTTCCACACCTGCAGACCAGCAGCAGGTGCTCGCCAGGTCAGTGACAATGCTGCTCCTGCTAACTGCCTCTTGTGCATCGCTTAAAACACACACAGGCAAGAAGCAACCCTGTTCTTCCATGATATTACAACTGTCGGGCTTCAGCTGTGAGTTCAGCGCAGCACAAAACTAGGCAGATGCGTATTCTTTACCCCAAAATGAACTTTGTCCTATTTGGGCAGATAAGGAGCTGTTAGCCATGGTGTTTGATGATGACAAGTGCCAGAATTATGAGAGAAAAATCTGGGGAGGTCTGCGTTAGCAGATATGGATGCAAAAAAGTGTGCTTTCCTGATAACAAATCCTGCCTAGAGCTGTAAGCATGCAAGTCTCTTCCTCCTCTGGCTTTTTGCAGGTGTAATTCATGAGGAGTTTATAAAGTCAAGTCTGGCAGTGGCTGACAGAGCTTAAGTGCCCAAACAGGTTATGGAGGCAGCCTCCTTTTCCTCTTAAAAAAGGTTTTTGAAGGGCACTGAGCGCCCTCTTGTATAAGTACAAGTCAGGCAGCAGGCCTTCCTGCTGCTCGCTGTGCGTGTGGATGGACGAGAGCACGTCCTCCACAACTCTCCCTTGTCACCGAGGTCACTTTTGCCTCTAACTCGCGCATCTGACAATGTTTGCAAGGCGTCAGCCAGAACTGACATCAGAATTTCCCAATAATCACATTTTAGGGGGAGCATTAGACGCAGGGCCTGGAGCACAGGGCTGAGATGTGAGAGCTGCCTGGGCTGTTTCAGAAATACACACTTTAAGCAAATTCCGCCGATTTCTCTCTTTTGCTCCATTGCTTGGAATTATAAAATTAGAAATGCTCAACGTAAGTTATATTGTAGATGACGGAGTTTGATTCTGAAAAGTCTTGTGTGTTTTAACCAGTCTTTCAGCTTTACCACGAGCTCCTGTGGCACACGCTTGCTCTGTCGGGCCTCTCCCAGCTGAAAAATGAGCTATTAAGAAATCCAGAATAGCAGTCTGTAATTTGCGGGCAATTCTGTCTATTAATGGAGAGGTCTCCGGAGAAACCATTCGTTTTGACTATGTGTCAAATCTTACTAGTCCTATTGCAGCATTCCTTTTTGTGACAAACAAGTGAAAAATGCTCTTCCAATTCCATTGTTAAAATCAAAAGTTCTCTGCAGATTAGGCGGGAGGGTTTGGTTCTGCAGACGTGGGGATTTTCAAAGCTGCCCGTTAAAAGCTTTACACGTCAGGACGCTGTGAGATCTCCAACACTCACTCAGCAGAGCAAGGATTCAAGTGCACATTAAGCAAACAAAACCGAAGGCTACTTGGCAAGTGCGGTACAGTAGAATAGCAGGTCATCTCTGGTGGAGAATGAGCTCTTTCAGATGGGTTTGAAGATAATTAAGAGGCTATTATCAGCGCAGGTTTTATCAGCAGTGGGATTTTCTCCAATCTGAGCCAGCGCTGGCCAGCCTGAGCTATCTGCTCTGCTGCAGATCCCCGTGCAGACAAAGAGAACGGCTCTGGAGCACGGCTTTATTTCTGTGTCGGAGTGTACAGGGTGGCGCGGCGTGGACATGAGACGAGCTTGATTTCAACTACGGGTCTGTGCCAGCGCTCAAGCAGAAACGCTGAGATCGACCAAGTCATCAACCCTGGCCGATACTGCCCCAAAAAAGAAATTGTACCGTGGCTTCCAGCCGTTATCATTCCCGTATCCGTCATTTAAAATATTTTTTTGTGTAATTTCGGCACATTTTGTGCTCGCCTTGAGAGTCTTTTGAAACAAGAAATAAGAATTGAAATATAAATTCCACAAAACAGGGTTTTTAAAAAGAATTCTGTGAGCGTAGATACAGATTTCTGGGCATACTTGTTGACAAGGGTGCCCAGAATAACACGCACTTTGCCTTGGGTCCACAGGATTATCTATGACAGAAAGCGTTAATAGAAGTGGAATTTGCTGTGATTACTCAGGGCAGCAAATCTCGTCCGAAATCACTTGTTTTCTGTACCGTATCTTCCCAAACGTCGTTCCTCCACACTTATGCAGCCGGTGCTTTGCACTGCGGAGCTAAGAGAAGCGTTTGCCTTTTCCAGGCTGCGGATGCTTGAATGCCAGGTGGTAGGGGGGGAACAGGCCAAAAACAAGGACCTCAAAGAAAAGCACAAACACCGGAAAAAATATGCAGACGAGCGGAGGATGCAGCTGGCGGCCGCGCTGCAGCAATCAAATGAGGACAGCAGCGACTGGGTTCTGCTTAACGTCTACGACTCTATCCAGGAGGAGGTTCGAGCCAAGAGCAAGCTTCTGGAGAAGGTGCAGAAGAAGGTGAGCAGCTCCCTCTTATCCCTGCTGAAGATTTAGGGACCATCT